CAAAACCCCCTTTTCAAACAAAATTCTAGCCTCTAGCAGTCACAAGATCTCTCCTATCGTTCCAAGAGGTGTATTTACAGCTAGGCTCCTCTAAAGGCAAGGAATCTTCCTAAAATTGTATTTTGCGCATGGGGAGAGGGTGCGGCCATGGCCTGGGTGCATTGCGTTTTGGCAAAGCAAGGTGCGGGTGCGCTCATGTCGGGCAAGGGTGCACAAGAATCTAGTGGAAGCGGCGCGGGTGCGCTATGAAGCAAGCGCGGGTGCGCTAATATTGGTACAAACCATCTCTAAAGGTTCTCAGAAACTCCTCCCATTGTACAAGGTGGCTAAATCTATCACTAAATTTCTTCTGCAATTTCTTTAGTCATCATTTCTTTACTTCCCCATCAAAGACAAACGTAGCAAGAGCAACTCTCATCTCTGTTAGACATTTCATACCGTCTATAACTTTTTTCACCCTCATCAACTAGTTTTTAGCTTCCACTAGCTCACTTGCTCTTAAAAAAATAGCAGTCTCATATCCTAAGAAAATTTTAAGTATTAATTCATTTGCGAAATTTTAAGTATTAATTTATCTGTGTTGCCCACTACAACTGATCTGAGGGTGATACTTCCTGATAAGTTGTGTTATAACATTCATGATATTATAAAAGACATTAGTACAAACCATTATTTTTTGGGGGATATCAACTCCAACATTATCATGCTCGACTTATTTCTCCTGATCATCCATAATTCTGAAATATAACAAAATATTCTAATTAGATGCAGTTAAAATTTTAATTTATATAATTTATAACTTAATTCAATCAACATAATGACTTTTTTTTACTAGGATTAAAACATAATTTGTCTTTGATACCACTTTTATCATAACTCAACCCGCTAATGCAAGAATGGATGGTCGGACAGAAAAATTAATTTTTTTTATTTTTACTTTCTATCACTAATAATTTACAATCCAAATACACTAAAGAAAAAAATTTTAATCGCTGATCTTGTCTTCTGTAAATATTCTCTCCTCCAATATTCATCTTTGATTAAATAACTAAAAATTGAAAAATATTAAAAAATTAATAATGAGTTATTCAAAATAATAAAATGAAACAATAATATTTCTAAACTACAATAACCCACAAAAAAATAAGGTAATATATATGTTGATCTTTTCTAATATTTTCTTGAAAATTATTTAATAATTTTGATCATATATTCATGCTAGTTACTCATGGAAGAAATCTGAATATACTCATGAATGAAATCTAAATATTTCTACATGCATCAACTTTTACTTTACTATTCAACATATAATCCCTTAAGCTTCAGTATATTTCTTACACTTTAACTTTACCTTCATCTAAAAAACAACATCTATACATAACTTAACATATCTCTGACCGATACATACCCCATTGACACACTGAAGTGCAGAAATAGCCGATGTTCTCCCGTTGTCATAGTTCATTTTCAATTACATGATAGTCTGAGACGGTAAATTGTCTACTCACCCCTGGTCGATATTCTTCTGTCGACATAAAAGTTAATGATCTAAATTACACAAAAGTTTGAGATGGCAGTAAATATCTGTGCGAGCAAGTATAACAGTGTCCCCTATCAATATTATAAAAGTCATATAATAATCTAATATATGCACATTTATTAAAATTTAAATGTCATGCAAAAATCTAATCACTTTATAAAAAAAAATTGTGCAATTATTTAACATACATATTTTTCTATCTAACAATATGAAGAATATATTGTAATTTAAATCACTAGCATAAACCATAAATCAAATGAGAAATATATTTAGAAATAATGAATATTACTAAAATTTAGAAATATAATTACCCACATTAATCTTTCAAAGACCACTTTAAAAGCTTAATCCTCCAATTTACTTTCTTCAATTATCACCTATATCAATTAAAGGTAGATATATAAGGATCATAAATTTAAAATAAATGACTTGAATATAAATAAGTAAAAAAATATTTTTTCCGACTCATCTTTTTAAAATCAAATGCTCTTTCAAATCTAATCATTGATTCTAACTCATGAAACTTAACATTTACTTAATGACATTTAATTAAAATAAAATACAAAAGTAAATACATAAATTTTTACCTCATCTTGCACTGCAGGCACTTTTCCTCAATTTCCAATACAGAAATCCCTCTCTACTTTTGTTATTTATCAATAAAATAATAATTAATACTTTTAATTAAATATGTAAAATCTCAAATTAAAACTTAACCTTAAACTTACCTTACTAGAACTTATTTGACCGATCGATTTTATTCTTCCATTTCCTTTAATTTGATTACTTGACGCCTTAATCCTTATTATTAATTTATAAGGTTTATATAAACTAATAATATCAAATTAAATAAATAAAATATATTTCTTTTTTAATAAAATAAAAACATAAATTATGAACATACCTTATTTCTCACATGAAACACAATCCCTTCGACTCGACTCCTTCCTTAAAGCCGCTCAAGTGCCCTTGCCTCCTCCTTCCTATTATTCCTTCACGCATAGAGGATGGTACTGCTAGACTTGTCCCCTTCTCCTTCAAGCAACCGCATGCAAAAAACCCTAAGGGTGCACTGCTTCCTCTTCCATCTCGTAGACAACCCAACACTAAAGTTGCACAGTCTGATCTCTGGCACAAATCAAGTCAAAAATAGCAAACGTTCTCCCGAGTCTTCTTCAGTGCAAGCTTTGACAGAACACTGCCACACACAAAAGATGTTGAGACACTTAGCACAAAGGCTTCCTCCTTCGGCTTCGACGTAGAGTGTCATTGCACGTTTTTTTGATGCACGCGAGACTGCCTCCTAGTCTTTTTTGTCTCTCATTCTCTCGTTCTCTCATTTAGTTCTACCAACTAAGGTGACATAATCATTTTCTAAATTAAGAAGAAAATATTTACAAATGACTAAATTTTAATATATTGAAAAAAATTGTATTTACAATTTTACGCATATTCTCAAATATCTGCATATGTTATAGAAAATAATCTTTGAGCAGATACTAATGATTTTAATGACTTCGGTATATTCTTAGGCAAGTTTATTAACTAAATTGCTAGCATGCATATTCATATAACTTTAAATGCATACGAGAGGATTTTAATAAGTAAAATGATAAAAAAATATCAATAAAATATGATACTGATGACCTACACAAATAAAGATGACATAAAAATTATAGAATTCTCAACTCTTGACAGTGAGATTAGCACAAACATTTTGGTATCAAGGGGGGTTGTTGATAATTATTATGTTAGAAGATAACCAAATTTTAACAGTGTTTGTTGAAGCAAACAGGCTTGGTGACCACACATAAATGAATTGAGTCAAAATCTATACAAGTACAAATGATATTCCTAAAATAAGAAATAATGAGTATGAAGCAAATAAAGAATATTCACATGATTATGCAATAATTTAATGAAACATGTGCTATATAGTTTATTTGCTACTAATTACTACTTCTATACCTTTCCTTTACCCATTTTAAGTAATTACAACATGTTTATTTTGTGATGTTGTTAGTCATACGAGTCGTGGATGAGTATGCATATTTTTGTTCCTTTTCTTCTATTAAATTTAACTTTAACAAAGATTATTTTAGTAAGTTTGTAGCCTATTCTTGTATGTTGTTGATTTCAGGAAGGAGTAAAGTGCAATAGAGCACTTAGCCTAGCGGTTTAATTTGTACAACTTTTGACATGTAAGGATTTTGGTGGACTTTGAATATTTTTTTTTACGAAAACTATACATTTATGCATCTATGATGCACACAAAAAAGACATCATCAACAAGTATTGTAGACAATTCTTTATCATCCTCTATATGGATCAAAACAAAAGATTCATTAAGGGCACGTTTAGCACAAAAAATATAAATTTACACGTTTAAATATTTAACAAATCTATATATATTTCGTGAATTAATTATGTATGTTTCCCTATGTTATGGATATGAATGAAAATTAAATTGAACTGGGTGTTTCCACATGCGATGGTTGAGAGAGATCAATTCTCCATTTGCTTGATTCTGATTCGTGCAAATCAAGATGAATGCTGGTGGAAATTAAGTCTGACTGAGTCGTGCCCTCTACTGCACCACTGCTTGCCCATATGACAGGTGCCAACTGAGTGTTATACTTAGCACTTGTAGCACCTATCAAGTGCATTGAGAAATAAAAAGACAACAAAGGTAAATAGAATGTATAAGAAATGAAACATAATCAGTTGAATATATTGCATCCATGCAAATAAATGTTTTATCTCATTTATAAGTTGAAACATCAATGTAGAGCTAATTCTGAAACCTAATTTTTTTTAAGCAAGATATTATCATCAGATAATTAAATGAGTACAGATGTGATAATTACAATGACAGACAGATTACAATATAACGGAAAGAAATTACTGATAACAATATGATGAAGTAGAAAATACCCATATGATAGGTCCAGTGATCCGTGATAAATTTTCATTTGTGCCTCTTCATTTGAAGCATAGTGCATATTTGGGAATAACAATTTTATTTTTTAAAAAAATTTCTTCCTGATCTAGAAACAAAATTTGAAACCTTCTTTTCACATGGGCATCAATACTCAGAAGTCTGCCGTCTAAATCAGCAAGCTAACTTAGGAGCATCAAAAATCTCTAATACTAATCGGAGGGCAAATCAACTCTTTTTGAAGCCTATAGAGGGTATATAATCATGATTTCAGATGCAGAAGTAACCGAATATAAAATAAATTTGTTATTTCACAGGCCAAGATCAATTAGGCCTCTGATTATGGAGTTTTTACTCTTCCGGTTACAGCCAAAAGAGGACAAGTGCGTTATCACATGGAAGGATAGCATCATTTCCTCATCAATGTAATCCAGTATTCCAAGAGTAACTAATAAACGCTAGTCTTCAAACTATATGCAAAGAGACTTTTCTCATAAAAATTTTGTTAATTTGCTTTCTCACCTCAGCTAGATAGTCATTACCCGAAGGACTTTTCTCATCAAAAACTTCTGTTTCACTTGTACCTATGAACATGCCATAAAAAAAATTGAAGGAAAAAAATATGATAATTCATGACAGCAAACATCATTCTGGACAAAATAGAAGTTTCTCCTTATGAAAGCCACTTGCAATACTACATACTCATTGGAATCATTGATAAAACATTCAAAGGATAAATAACAATCTTTTCTTCTAAAATAGGATCAGATTACAACTACTAAATACTTGTCATCAAGCTATTTCAATAGTGATTCATCCACTCCAAATTATTGCACCTTGCATTTGCAAGCATGTTTAGTTTTAAATTTTTTATTAGACATATACCTGAACTCTAATATCAGTATTTATAAAAAGCATCAAGTTTGTTAATGATGAATGATGTCAGTCCAATGACAAACCTTGAAGGTTGCTAGTTGGAACTTATGTTAAAACCTCCCATAATATCTAAAACCTTTCTAACCAGATAAAGCAAATTTCAAACACATTGAATAAATAACTATAATACAACAAAAAATTGTTACCAGGAACTATAGAGACTAGAGAACAAATAAGTGGGACCGCAATGTGGGCTCGAAAAATGAAAGCCCCGGTCTCCCTCGAAATAAATGAAAACGAAATGATAGAGAGGAGTTTATTGCGAGGTTCAAATTTTCAAAAGGTAGATGAAACAACAGATAAGACACCACACAGAGATTTCACATAATTTTGCTAGGACTTCTAAGATCAGAAGTTCAAGTTTTCCCATAGGTGCAAACACTTGTGGTTAATTTCTCTTAACAACAAGGGGCACATTTTCAATCAAGGCTAGTAATTAAAAAGCTGATAGCTCAAGTGTATAGTAGCAACAATTAAGATTTAAATTATAATGTAGATTAATTAATTTTACCACCTTAAGCTTATAGCGAATTGTAAGAGAATAATGACAAACCCAATCAAATCCCTGTGATTTTGTCATTTTTGGTCATTGATCATGATCTACTTAGTCAGAAAAAGTAGTCAACCCAACCTAAGAAAATGATCAATATCAGCAGCCATGAGTTGTTTCATGTAAGGAAACCATGTAAATTTGAAGTGAATGTTTGTCCAAGGGGAAAAATTCAAGACCTTAGCTTATAAATGACTTTGTGCCCTACCAAGTATCAAAGGACACTAAAGCTCGTCAAAGCAATTTATAAATCACTTTACCAGAATAAGGAAATCGCTGAATTGTGACCAGTTTAGGTCCTTCCTTATTTAAGTGTCCCTTGAGATGAACGAGAAGGTCATGCTCACGTCAAAGCACTTTATAAATCAGGCCTCCATGAATAGAAATAATCAGATCAATAAAAGGAGGTAGGCAAGTAAGAAGAGCAACAAAAACATATGAAATTCATAAAGGCCTAAAGGCTATTTATAGGAAGGAAAAAAGGTAATCTGAAGACATATGTCACATCTACCATAAATATTAAAAATTCATAGATTAAAATCAAATCCTCTTTCTATCATTACAAAATAATATCTTTATTTATATTGCTTAAATGTTTATGTCAGGGAGTCAAAATAAGAAAATAAAAAGCAAAGATAGCAGTAAACACAACCCACACACAAGTTAAATAACACTCGTAGAAGAAATAATTACATAGAACCAAAATATAAAAGTTCATTACTAATATCATACGAAGAAGGCTCCAGTCTTACTCATCACAAAGAAAAAATATATGAACAAGGTATAGCAACACATTAGGCGAATAACTCCTATCCCCATAATTTGTCATACAACAACTAGCCAAGAATTAACTCGACCAAGATAACTACAAAAACTTGTGACTAGCTACAATCTTGGACTTCTAAGGAAATGGAGTTGGCAACTTTGTCAAAGATCGTGTTAAAACCAGCCTTCTCCAAAAAGCAAGCTTCATCTCATTCTTGGCACTATCCCTTAATCACGCCGAGTCGATCTTCTAGAAAGCAAACATGATTTTGGGTAGAAGCAAAAGAAGATTTAGTCGTGGCGCGGCACAAAAACATCATTACATGCTTATGGTTAGAGCCTAGAGCGGCGGGAGTGCGTTTTTAAATGAACTAAGGAATCCCGTCGTCCTCGCATATCCGCTGAACTAAAAAGTGATTGATTATTGGGAATACCAAAATTCCTATGCTGCCCCATACTCCATGGTTTGCCCAGCTAAAAATGATCGAGCCCTTAGGATTTTTTTCGTCCTCTGGTACCTGTGGCGAGAGCTCAATTTCTACTTTCTCTTCATTTGCTTTCCTTCATCCTACGGTACCTTCTTTCATTTACCTTTAGTATTTGCTTTGTGTGGTTCGTGGTTCCTCTGTCTCACTGACCTTTGTGGATTTTTGCAATGGCCTTAATTTTTTGTTGTGCATGGCTTCGAGCAATCGATCTTTCATGTGAATGCCTTTGATTTTTTTTGCGATTTTTGCTCTTGCGCTTTTTCTATGACAGAGAAATTTGGAGTCCTTTGTTAGAAAAATCCGGTATGTGATCACCTTCAATTGGGAATTAAACATAATGAACAAAAAAAAAGTAAATTAAAATTTTTTTGTTAGAATTAAACCAGATTGGACGATTATAAACAAGATCGACCAATGCAAACACAAAAGTGGTTTGTCTTTCTCAACGAGCTCTATGATTTTTTCTGTGATGGAGAAATTTAATGAGATTTTTTTGAAGTTTGGATAAATATGGAGAAATGTTTTTTTGTGATGACCTTAGATTTTTACTATAATGATTATCCTGTAAACACCTTCGATTTTTTATGTTGTTTCTACTCTTTTCAGTTTTTCTACGATGAAGAAAATTAAAATTATTTTTGGAGAAATATGATCTGTGATGGCCTTTGATTTTTTCTGTAGTGGCCTGTGAAATTCATGTGAAGTTTAGTTTTGTTTTTTGAGAAATGGGTCTGTAATGCACTATACTAGCTGAAATGAGTGTGGATGCTTATAGCTCTGGCTTTCGATCCCAGCTTCCTAGTTCATATATAAGTTTATTGGAAAAGATGCCAACTCCTAAGCAAGGGTATTTGGGTTGAGGTCATGCATGGCCATGGATGGGGTGATGATTTGAGTTGTAGGGCATTTACATGCATAACACTAATGCTTATGTATTTACACATTTAAAAACTAAACATTTATATTTACATGCATACCATTTACATACTTCTCATGCATAAGCTTATGGCACCAAGGTGTTATAAAGGCAAATGTGAGAAGTTTTGTGTATTAAATATGTAAATACATAAGAATTGTGTGGCATGTATGTAAATTTTCCATGAGTTTTTGAATTAACTCCATAGTTAAGCATACTCATGCTAAAACACTTGAAACGTGTGGTATGTAATGCCAAAGCAGGGTTGGGAACCAAGCCATGACACATATATATACCAACCAATTAATTGCATTAGACAATTTCCCATCACGATCATAGTTAGCAGGGCTATTTTAATTATTTTTTGATGAGGGGAGAAGCCTAATTCATTTTTCCAGTAGAACTGTTTGATTATAGTTTAATGAAATTGAGGGCTTCATTGATAGTGCATTCCTTTGAGGGCTTTGATTGATGGTATATTCTTGTTGGTTTGTTCCATGTTGTTTGTGATTCCTATCATTGGTAACTCAAGGACTATCGGTAGGAACCTATGTGTATGGGATGTTGCTAATACATGTGTAATTACTCTTGAGCTATGTCGAGTTATTCCATGGAGTAGTTTCTGCTATGTGATCTATGCCTTTTCTATATTGGATGCTTCAGTTCATAAATTCCTTAACCGATCTTTTTGCCACAGTAGTTAATTATGTGGCACATGATTTATTGAATACATGAGCTTAATTAGGCGCACTGTCATCCTTATGCAGCCGTCGCTCATCCGCATTCTACAGTTTTGTTCTAATAAATCTTTCACAGGGTCCTTTGGTTGCATGGATGAGGATGCCCTAAATTGAAATGATTGAAAAATTGAGGCTAGTTACATTTCAATTTAGAAAAAGGAGTTGACCCAACACATACTATTCTGCTAGATTCCAAATATTTTTTGTTATCTTGCAAGCTAGGGGCTTTCAAATGTTTACTTTTCGTTACCTTGCTTATTGTTGGGATTTAGAATTTGTTACTATCACTTTTGTGACATGTTGAGAAAGGGTTAGGAAGTTCTAGATTGCTTTCTTGGCTAATTTATGTTTCGATGAGTTCAGTTATTGTTTGTAAAAATTTACATTAATTAGTTCTTTTTATGCTAGTAGTGGTGATGGGTAAAACGAAAGAAATCGGATCGTCTGGTATATGCAATAAAGATGTGAAGTTAATCTTTTGCGATCTCTGCCTAAAGTACATGGAATCGAGATATAGGTCAACCGCCTATTTTAACAAGAAACGATAGCAGAATATTATAAAAGAGTTTAAGAAAAACAGTGAAAAAGAATATGATATAATGCAACTGAAAAATAAATGAGTTCAGTTAAAAAATGATTGAAAAATATGGATGGAGTTAAAGAGAGGTTCCATGGGATTAGGTTGAAATCCTATAAAGCGAATCATTGATATTTCAGACAAATGGTGGACTGAGAGAATGGAGGTAAAAGTTATTAAACATTGAATGCTTTTCATTTTTTTTGATGTCATCTCAATAATATTAACATATCAACTATCAATTAATTTGTAGGTTGTGCTAACTGCCAAGAAGGACAAGTTTAGTGACATTGAACTCTGAGTTTGATGAAAAGTTGAACCTAATGTTTGGTGGAATCTTGGGCGCAGGTGATCATGCATGGGCACCAAGTGAGAGTACACACCATCAAAGTTGAGCATGTAAATGTCGAGCAAACTGCTAACTCAAATGAAGCGTTCACTCCCAAACTAAACGAAGTTTGATCTAGTAGTCTTTTCAAACGTCCTAGACCTGTGAAAAAGGAAAGTAGTGCAGTTTTCATAAGAAGCCAGATTTCTTAATTAGTTTTATGCACTAATGAGCCTAGGACATCACATGCAAATTTTATTCAACAATTTATGAGAATATTGAAA